TTATATGGACACCCGTCCCTTTTAGATGGACACTTGTCCATTGTTTAATTTAAAAAATTTTACACATAACATTTGAGTCTCAATCAAGATCCAAAAAGTAAATGTCGCTATCCTTCATTAAATTTGTTATCTATATTCAAAGTAATTGGACAAGTGTCATAAGAATATGGCCAAAACTATGCATTCTTTTCATGCTTTTTATTCTTATTAGATCCACCCAATATGATTTTATTGTTGTTACAATTTTGTTGAGACTATGAAATTTTTTAATTTAAATAATGGATGGGTGTCCATCTAATAAGGACGCCCGTCCATTGTGATTTTTGTGTAAAATTTTTTAATTTAAACAATGGATGGGTTCAGTAGGGACGCTCGTCCATAATACATGGACGGGCGTCCATGATTTTTGTTTTCAAATTTTTTTAATTTAAATTATGGACGAGCGTCTATTATAGGTGAACGTTTGTCCATAGTAAATTGACTCCTGTCCATATAATATAGACGAGAGTCTATTGTTATTTTCTCATGGACAGGAGTCTATTTAAAATGAATAGCCGTCCAATAATCACATATGTCCGTCCATATTTGATGGATGGTCGTTTATTCATGGAATATTTGTTAATATGCTATGTGGTTGTGTGACACATTATTCGGTGTAAAATTTCAATGTAATTCTTCGATGTCCATAGCATTATTCAAAATTAAATCCCGTGACTTTGGAGCACAAAATCATAAGAGAATCTCCTGAAAACCAAAAAGCAACGCAATTTTTTTTTAGTTATATAATAATATAATTCAATGATTTTTTATCATATTTTTCGAACCTAGGCGTATATTATTTGTAAAGCCACTTTATTATTATTATTGAACTAAATAAAGAAATTTGATCGAATTTTGATATAAATTATCTTGGAATAAGAAATTTTATTTGTTGTATATTCAATCAACTTTAAAAACATCATAGAAAAATCACACGGTTAATATTTAAGAAATGAAATTCCATAAAAGTTTCGCATATAATGTTGTGAAATAAAAAGATTGACTTTTTATCATATAATAAAATCTATCATGAGAATCGAAGTCAATACCTCGACAATTATAACTTATTGTACTAATTTATTTGGGCTAGCTTTACTCTCCGATCGAATATTTATCTAGACACATATATTATAGTTTGCATATATTTAATCATGTCACACGAGTGTGAAAACTCTAACAACTTATATATGAAAGTTATTTCTTATTATCATATTATTAGAACGTATTTATTTATTTTCTAAATATTTTTAGAGATTACATATCTAACAAAACATTGTATAGACTATATAGTTTTGATTTAATTACAACATATTCATTTTTTTTAATTAATTATTTTATAAAATTTTATTTTAAACAAAAAATCTAACAATCGTACTGTCTAGACAAAGATCCCTGTTCAGTACCCTACCTACCTAACCGACCCCACCCAAAAGAATCTGAACGAAAATTGAGACCCTAAGATTAAATTAGTCAAATGCAGAGTAAAAAAAAAAATTAGGAGATGGAAATAGGCAAAGCTATGGATTGTAAACTAAGGCAACAACATCTTCTAATACATAGGGGTGGGATAAATAATCCGAAAAATGAACCGAAACCGAATAAAAAATTAGGTTTTTTTACAAACCGGTTTGGTTTTCGATTTGTGAAATTCAGAAAACAGGAAAACTGGTTCAGTTTTCAGTTTGAAAAAAATTTCAAACCGGTTAACCGAGAACCGATTTTACCCTAAATAAAAAAGCAAAAAAATTATTTATATAAAATAACAAATATTTGAATTTAGGGATTTAAATGAACATTGAAAAATTTTAAGGATTAAAGGATAATTTGAAAACCGGTTAACCGGTAACCTAACCGAAAATTCGGTTCAGTTTACATTCTGTTTTTAACCGAAACCGGTCCGGTTTTCGGTTTGGATTTTCTCCAAACTGAAAAACCGGTTTGGTTAACCGGATTATCCCACAGTAATACATGTATTAAGGGACAAAATCGTAATTTAATTAATATAAAAGAAATTTATTAAACATTAAGGGACTTCAATGTAATATTACTAAACTAAAGCGAGAATCAAAAAGTTGCCAAACTAAATGGAGGAATCTTTTTGAATAAAGACAAGAGGTGAGATTCAACGGCAGTGATTAAAGTTATCAGTATAAATCCATCCTATTCAGCAGCCAGTTGCTCAGTCAGCCACTCGTTCATTTCTCATTTCACATTTCATCGAATTATCTATAAGGTTTTCCCCCTCAATTCTTCTCTTTCGATTTTTTTTTTTTTTCCAAAATCTCGTCCGTTTTTCTTTTTCAATTATTGTGAGATTGTTATGAAGGTATTGCATGTTTGATGCGTGTTCATCTGTTCATTTTTTATTTATTTTATAAATAGTAATGCTTTTGTGTTAATTTTGTATTTAGATTTAAAGTTGAAGGATGGATTTGAACTCAGTAGCTGATAAACCTCACGCTATTTGCATACCATATCCAGCCCAAGGTCATATTAACCCAATGTTCAAACTAGCTAAACTCCTTCACTTGAAAGGCTTTCACATAACCTTTGTCAACACTGAATACAATCATAGACGTTTACTCAAGTCAAGAGGCCCCAACCATCTTGAAGGTCTACCTGACTTTCGCTTTGAAACCATCCCGGACGGTCTCCCTTTTTCTGACGTCGATGTTACCCAAGACGCTCCTTCTCTTTGTGACTCCACCTCCAAGCATTGCTTTGTCCCTTTTCGCAATCTTATTCGTAGACTCAATGATACTTCATCTTCCAAAGTCCCACCCGTCACTTGTATTGTCTCAGATGGTGCCATGTCATTCACTGTCGATGCTGCTGAAGAGTTCGGAATCCCTGATGTACTTTTCTGGACACCAAGCGCCTGTGGCCTTCTATGCTATACGCAGTTCCATCTTCTTGTTGAAAGAGGTTTAACACCGCTTAAAGGTATGATACTAAATGATTAACAACCAAAGTCTCAGCTTTTTTATTTCTTATTGATAGATTCTCAGTTCAAGAACGATGCTTTAATATCTTGATAGTGAAATTTTGTTTGTTTGGCTTCCTAAACAGATGTTAGCTACCTCACCAACGAGTATCTGGAAACTACTGTAGACTGGATTCGGGGATGAAACGTATTCGTTTAAGGGATTTCCGGCTTTCATTAGAACTACAGATGCAAATGACATCATGGTCAATTACATCATCAGGGAAATTCAGAAAGCTTCCAAGGCTTCTGCCATCGTTTTGAACACGTTTGACTCCTTGGAACAAGCTGTTTTAGATGCCCTCTCAGTCCTGCTACCTCCTATTCACACCATTGGTCCCCTTCCGTTGCTTACCCGTCAGATTGCGGATGGAAAATTAAATTTCGATCTGAGTTTGTGGAAAGAACAGTTTGACACAATAGAATGGCTCGATTCGAAGGAACCCGGCTCTGTGGTGTATGTAAATTTCGGAAGTATCACTGTAATGACTCCGGAACAACTCATTGAGTTTGCTTGGGGACTAGCTAATAGCAAAATGCAATTTCTGTGGATAATAAGGCCCGATCTTGTTGCTGGTGACTCAGCAGTTCTTGCACCAGAGTTTCTCACTGAAACCAAGGACAGAGGCATGTTAGCTAGTTGGTGTCCGCAAGAGAAAGTGCTAAACCACCCATCAATTGGAGATTTTTAAGTCACATGGGATGGAATTCAACAATTGAAAGTATATGCAATGGAATACCGATGGTTTGTTGGCCATTTTTTGCTGAACAGCAGACCAACTATATGAATGCTTGTAATGAAAAAGCGAGCCGTCGAGTGGCAGATGAAGGCAGAAGAGGCTGCTGCACCCGGTGGTTCTTCGTACCAAAACCTTGAGAAACTAATTGCACAAGTGCTATTAGAAAAGCATATAAATTGAGGGAGTCGTTTCTGCTTCTGCGTCAATGCATATACATACACTAATTTTGCTAGTCTTTCTTTGGGGTTGAAAGTTTGTCGCATGCATTTCCCACATGTTCAATTTTTCAAGTGTCTGGTATTATCTTTGTGTACATATTGCCTTGCTTTAATCAATCTTCTGTGTTATTTTTCAAATATATGAAATATATTTTCCAGATAGGATTCATCTGTAAGACCACAAAATTAATTAATTAGTTCTAAATATTTGATGGTGGGTGCATGTGAAGGGCGCGCAATATTTGATGAATTGTAAACTGAATAATATAATGGATATGTTCATGTTAGCGTAAATTACTATTAAAAACTACTTATAGAGATTATTACAATTTAAATAAGCTTATACATATAATTTTCTATTTAGAAAAATGCAAACTATTTGGTTATGAGATAACTCTTAGCATCAGATATTCATGCAAAGGTTTCATTACATTCCAAAGCTAAATATTATTGAACCAGAAATTTAGTTTACAAACTAAATAATCTAACGATTTCAAACTTATTGATGTAACAATCGTTTAGGGGTGCTAATTACTTATTATGCAAAGATTGATGAAGAGAAAAGAGATTATAAGTTGAAAAGAGACTACTACTAGATGAGGGAAGGTTTATATTTTAATTTAATACACCAAAGTATTATATCCTGTCGCCTCATACATAGTAAAAGTTGCTAACTCACATAAGTTTGGTTTACCGACTTTGTTGACTGTCTCAAAGAAAATAGTAGTCAAACAACTTCAGATTTCTAACAAATATATCTTACTGTTAATAATACTTGGAAAAACTAAAAAAGCCGAATAAGTGGATTGGGTGGGATTAAAACCCAAACCGGTTCAACCCATACAAATTTTACCCAATCCATCTCCACCCATTATCAAAAATTTGGGAATCCACTGAATTGGGATGAGATTTGGGAGCCGAATAATTGTGCTTGAGGGTCCAGAAACCATTTCTTTTAAATATTGTGCAGAAGAAGAACCAACCAACCAGAAAATGTAAACAATAGAGAAATTCTTATAAATGAAAGTGCCAGAGACTGGAATCCGCTTCATAGTGGTGGAAATTGCTTGGATAGTTTTGATAGATCAGGTTTTTACATGAACTCCCTTGAATTTTAGTGAAAGAAAAGGAGAATTACTGGTTTCGGAATGAGAAATTTACATCTTTATAATTAATAGACATTTTGTGAAAAGTTAATTCCGACATAAAATCTTGGGTATAATGACTAATGTATCCTTTTTTTTTTTTTTTTTTTTTTTCTCTTATAACAACAAAAAGAAGATAATACCTTACATTTGTCACTTAATCAAAATTTGAGTAAACGACATGTTCCCACCCAAAGTCTCACGAAATGGGAAGTTCTCACCCCTGGCTTCATCAATTCCAAATTCTCACCCTTAAATTAATAAAAAATTATTTAATGAAACGGTAAAAGTAAAAAGATAATTTGATCTGCATTAAATCTGAATTAAAAATGAAAATTTCAAAATAATCTCATCTCAAATTTCTCTACATTGTTAGAAGTGAGATTTCAAGTTTTAAAAGAAATCTCTGACTTCGTCTAACAACACACCGTGTGAAGTGGACAATGTACAATAATAGCTTGTTTTAGTTTGCATATTAGCTGTATAAGTGCTAATCATGTGTTGCAATTTTTTAGGATAGTCGATGTTTATCTTTTTGTTTCTTGCTAGTGTTAGCTAAATAATAGCCAGATTAGGTAACGTAAAGTGTACTCTTGTTTTGTTTTCTCATATATAGTGGAGCTCTTTTGTTATGAATAAATATATCAGTTTTTCATATGTCATTCTCAGAAAAACTTGAACATGGTATCAAAGCTTTAAGTGTTCTTTCGAGACCTTAATCAATTGTCTTTTTGTTCTTGAAACACTTTCAAACAAAATTCCCACCTATTCAAAAAGTCACAACAACAACATGGCCAATACATTTGGACCGTCAATGCTTGCCACACCAATTTTTTCAAGGAAACACTACACACATTGGGCTAAAAGAATGAAAACTATGCTCAAGGCAAATGGCTTGTGGGATATGGTTACAAAGAATTGGAAGATGATGTCGAGTACACAAGTGCACAAAAGAAGGAGAACGAGGAAAAATCTCAAGAAAAATCTCAAGAAAATTCAAGAGCTCTTGCCTTTATCCAAAGCGGGGTGAACGAGACCATATTCTTAAGAATTATAATTGAGGAAGAAGCCAAAACAGTTTGGGAAGTGCTTCAACTTGAATTTGAAGGGTCAGATAAGGTGAAATCAGCCAAGTTGGTGACTTTGATAATGGAGTTTGAGAGGTTAAGGATGCAGGAGCCTGATAGTGTGAAGGAATATGTTGACAAAGTCCAAAAATTTCTGAGTCAGATGAAGATTCCTAGTGAGGAGTATCCAAAGAAGCAAGTAATGCTAAAAATACTTGCAAGTTTACTCCCAGATTTGTTTCGAAGGTGGATGCTATTAAAGAATCCAAAGATTTGGACACTCTAACCATCAATAAGCTTGTTGGCTCTTTACAAGCCAGTGAGCAAAGGGTTGTAGGAAGAATGGAGGGAAGCACAGAGGGTGCGTTTCAGGCCAAGCAACGAAAGAAATGGGATGCTAATGATAAGAAGGAAGGAAAACATAAATTTTCTCCTTGTCCTGTCTATAAAAAGATGAATCATGTTGAAAAGGACTGTTGGGTGAAAAACAAGTCTAAGATTTCGTGTTTTAAGTGCAAGGGACACGGTACATGGCCAAAAGTTATAATTAGCCGATGGCCAGACAGTTAGATACACAGTAGGATGTTGAGGAGGCTAACGTGGCCAAGGAGGAACGTGGAAAGAACATGTTCATGGTCACATGTAGAAGACGAGATAAGTCAGATTGGCTTATAGACAACGGGTGTATGAGTCATATGACTTTTGATTCAACATTGTTTGACAATTTGGATACCACAAATAGACCTCTCATCATCATTGGAGTGGTGAAGAACTATGAGCAGAAGGCAGGGGGACCATAATTGTTCAAATTGACCAAGGAAAGAGGGTGATAAAAAACGTACTATATGTGCCAGGGATTGATCAGAATCTATTGAGTGTTGCACAAATGATGAGGAATGGGTATACACTAATTTTCAAGGATAAATCTTGTACCATTCTCGATCCAATGGAAAGGGTGCTTGTTAAGGTTGCTGAGGTAAACAATAGTTTTCCCATGTCATTAAGTTTGGCCCAAGAAACTACATTCGTGGGTAGAGTAGGTGTTGCTAAATTTTGGCATAGGCGTTTTGGGCATTGTGATGTGAGGAAATTACATCATTTGAGTGAAGAAAAATTGGTGTTGGGTCTACCAATGTTGAAGGCTAGTGGAGTGATTGATGAGCCAGAAGCATTGGCCAAGGAAACTTCTACGGAGCTGGATGAATCATTTTTTGAGGACCCCTATGCTAACCCATTGTCTTATGAAAGGTCAAGTAATATGACCAAAAAAGGCATTTGTGAACCTTGTCAGCTTGGAAAGATGAAGCGGAAGTCGTTTCCTAAGAACAAAGCTCGGAGAGCAAGTGAAAAGCTTCGGCTTGTACACTCTAATTTGTGTGGACCTATGAGAACAACGTCCTTGAATAATAATATCTATTTTCTTTTGTTTATTGATGACTATTATAGGATGTGTTGGGTATACTTTCTAAGTCGGAAGAATGAAGTGTTCGAAGTCTTCAAGAAGTTCAAGGTGTTGGTTGAAACTCAAACGGGGTGCACTTTAAAGAAGATTCGTTCAGATAATGGTTGGGAATATATAAATTTTGAGTTCAACAAATTCTGTGACGAATTTGGGATGGAGCATCAGCTCACGGTGCCATACACTCCACAGTAAAACGGGGTGGTTAAGAGAAAGAATCGGACTATCATGGAGATGGCCAGGTGTATGTTGCTAGAAAAGAATATGCCAAAGTCCTATTAGGCAAAGGCAATGAACAAACAGTTTTCCTATAAAATAGGTTGTCAACGGTAGCTATCAAAAGGAAGACACCATATGAAGCATGGCATAATGAAAAGGCTACAGTCCAAGATCTAAAGGTATTTGGTTATGTGTGCTATTATCACATGAGATAAACTAAGTCAGAAGGCAGAGAATGGTATATTTGTTGGTTACAGTGATCATAGTAAAGTTTACCGAGAACACAATCCTCAGGAAAACAAATTAATTGTGAGTCGGGAGTAGCTAAAGATGAAGCATGGTCTTAGGATAAAGAATGTTTAGTAGAACATGAACCATATAACTATTGGCTGGAAGAACTATGGCCAACTCACGAATCTAAAGCTAAAGAAAAACCAGGAGAATAAGGGCCAGATACACAGAATGATATCGACCAGGAAAATGAAGATCATCATCCGCTAAGGTACGGATCAATTGCTAAAATTTATAAGAGAAGTTTAGTGATGTTTGAAAAGCCTACCATCTTTGAAGATGCGGCTTAAGACAAAGAATGGTAGCAAGCCATGTTAGAGGAGATGAGGATGATTGAGAAAAATGGCACATGGGAGCTAGTGGATAGGCCAATCCACAAAAAGCCAATTGGTGTCAAGTGGGTCTTCAAAATAAAGAAGAACCCGAATGGCTTTGTGAACAAATACAAGGCCAGAGTAGTGGTGAAGGGTTAAGCACAGAAGGAGGGTATTGATTTTTCGGAAACCTTTGTGCCTGTTGCAAGGTTGGATACAATAAGGCTTGTTGTTGCATTAACTGCTACGAAAGGTGGTTAATTCATCAGCTAGATGTGAAGTCATCCTTCCTGAATGGCTATCTTGAGGAAAAAAAATTTGTTGAGCAACCGGAGGGGTTCAAGGTGGCCAGGCAAGAATTAAAAGTTTACAAGCTTACTAAAGCTTTGTATGGGCTAAAGCAAGCACCACGAGCTTGGTACAATCGAATTGATTCCTATTTAATCAAAAAAAACACTTCAAAGAGGAGCCAAAATGATGCAACACTTTATGTCTTTAAGCAAGAAAATGGAGCAGAACTGATTGTGTCACTATACGTCAATGACTTGCTAATCACTGGGGAAAATCTGGATGATATTATTCAATTTAAGAAAGAGATGAACTCTGAATTCGAGATGACCGAGCTAGGAGATATGCATTATTTTCTTGGCATGGAAATTTCTCAATTATCAACTGGGATATTTATTTGTCAAGAGAGATATGTGCATGATTTATTGAAAAAATTCAAAATGGAGTCGTGTAATCCGGTTCTAACTTCTATGGTTCACAATAAAAAGTTTAGTAAGAATGATGGGTCGAAGCCAGCTAATTTATCCATTTACCAAAGCATTGTGGGAAGTCTCCTATATCTTACAGTGACTCGGCCAAACATCATGTTTGCTACTAGCATGTTATCACGGTTCATGCTTTGTCCTAGTCAGATTTATCCAGTTGCAGCAAAAAGAATAATGAGATATTTAAAGGGAACAATGAAGCTCGACATTTGGTTTGACAAGCCTGGTAATTTTAAACTTCAAGGCTATATGGATAGTGATTGGGGTGGAAGCATTGATGACATGAAGAGTACCGGGGGTTACTGTTTTAGCCTAGGAATTGGGGTGTTTTGTTGGGCATCGAAGAAACAAGACATTGTGACTCAGTCAACATCTGAAGCAGAGTACGTATCTGCTATTGCTGCAACCAATCAAGTGGTGTGGATTAGAAAGGTTCTCTCTGATTTGGGACAAGAACAAGATGATCCCACAGTTATCTATTGTGATAATCAATCTGCTATGAAGATTACCAATAATCCAGTGAATCATGGAAAGACAAAGCACATAAGAATCAAGTATCACTTTGTGTGAGAAGCGGAAAGCAACAATGAAATTCATCTAGTTCATTGTGACGTGGAAGAGCAACTTGCTGATGTTTCCACTAAGGCTTTACCTTGAAATGAGTTTGAATACTTGCGGAATAAGTTGAGAGTCAAAACCAGAAAGTCTCAAGAGGGAGTGTTAAGAAGTGAGACTTTGAGTTTTAAAAGAAATCTCTGACTTTGTCTAACAACACACTGTGTGAAGTGGACAATGCACAATAATAGCTAGTTTTAGTTTGCATATTTGTTGGATAAGTGTTAATCATGTGTTGCAATTTTTTAGGATAGTCGATGTTTATCTTTTTGTTTCTTGCTACTGTTAGCTAAATAATAGCCAGATTAGGTAACGTAAAGTGTATTCCTGTTTTGTTTTCTCCTATATAAGGGAGTTCTTTTGTTATGAATAAATATATCAGTTTTTCATCTGTCATTCTCTAAAAAACTTGAACATACACCACTCCGCCTCCATCTTTACCACTGTTGGCTTGTTAAACGTGTGATAACCCTCACTACCAAAAACAACCCTCACCCATGCCTCCACCTCTACCACTGTTGGCTTGTCAGACATATGAAAACCTTCACCACCTAAAACAACCCTCACCCATGCCTCCACCTCTACCATTGTTGGCTTGTTAGACGTGTAAGAACCTTCACTGCTAGAAACAATCCTCACCTATTTCTAACGCCTTACTTCTTGGAACTTGTCGCCTAAAGGTTGATCTACGCACCAGCAGGTCGCGCATTGCAGCTACTATTGCTTGGAACGTGTGACTACACACTCCTCATCCACTAGACATCAACAGCGTAGGCATGGCAATGAGGCGGGGCGGGGATCTCATTCACCGCACCCATCCCCACCCTCAAAATCTTTCCCCACCCCCGCCCCATCCCTGTTACGGGGATGACAAGAATTCCCTTTCCCTGCCCCAAAGGAATGTTGGAGGCTCGTCCCTGCCCCGTTAATTTTATATAAACATAAATTAATTTGAGTATTACCAAACACAATAGTTAATTCTCGTCCACATGACAAACACTTAAATTAATCGTTTAAACATAATTAATTATACATAAATATGGGTCAGGGTTTGTTCTTGTTCAATTGTTTAGGGTGAGGGAAATTAGGAAAATATGGGTTTATATAGGTAGGATAATTGTGTAATTGGGTGAAATATAGGAGTATTAGTGAAAAGTATATATATATATATATATTTTTTAATTTTATATATTATATACGGGGTGGGCCGAGGGAAAGGCATCACCCACCCCCGCCCCATCCCCGAGGACGGGGATTAAAACACCCCCTATCCCCAAAAAAATCGGGGCTTCCCTGCCCTATATAGGGCGGGGCGGGACAGGTCCTCGAAATCTCGGGGAACATTGCCATGCCTACAACAGCGCATAACCATCCACCCTTCACTGCCTATAGACACCTGTACCAGCACCACATCCCCGCTCGTGCCACGTTGACCTTAGGCCAGATCATGGTCTAGGCCAAGATCTACCCTGCCTCACTACCTCACCCTCGCTTACGACTAGCCCTTTCCTCTCCATCCCGCCACAAGCTGCTTTCTCCCCTACCTCATAGCATCCCCCTTTCCATTTTCCTTTACTCCCCATTTTTCTTTTCTCTCTCTCCTTTTTTTTTTTTTTTAAATAATTGATGGTGTGGATTTGGGTTTATTTGCATTTGTTGTGTTGGGTTGATTTGCTTCATGGTGGGTGTTGTTTTGGAGAGGTGGGTGGGGGCCGACTATTATGGTGGTGGTTTGGAATGGGTTGTGGTGGTTTGAAAAGTTTTGATTTTGATCATCTCGAACAAGAGGGTGAAGGTTGAAGGATATGGTCTTATTGAAATAAATTTAAAAGTCGGATGGTTATTTTCTAATTCTATTAATTTGGGGTTAAAAAATGATTTTTTAATTTATTTGTCAAAAGCAATATGATAATAACATCCATTAGAACTTGAATCTTTAACAGTGTTGATTTAAGAGTGAGAATCTGGAATTTATAACACCAGGGATGAAAACTCGCCATTTCGCCAGATCTTGGGTGACAACATATCATTTACACATCAAAATGCAATAATGCTACGAACACCAAATTTTGCACCGAATTTTTGTAGCGAAGGATGTGGCATCCAGTCATACACGACCACATTGGAAC